TCAGTAAAAGAGATTTATTTGGCCAAAAGCTACACAAAGTGTCTCTGCACAGCCTTTGGTCACAGATCAACAGTCATCATACAACTCATTTATGGACACTTCTCTGTGTTTCAGCCTTTTATTCACAGAAATTTGTGTTTTATTATGCAGAGCTGCCAGGTGAGCGCCCCTTCTGGTCAGGGAATAGATAGTCATAAAATAACAATCGAGCCTTTTTTTGTTTCTGTTTTAAAGTTATTTTCTTTTTTGCTATCTGAAACAGAAAATGAAACTCAAGTCATTTAAAAAAATTGTTATCCTTTTTGACACTAAGAATGAAAAATGCGTTGTATTTTAATTTTTATTTCGGTATTTTAAAACTAAAATCAAAAAACCGCTCGTTTCTTGTTTTTTAATACCCGTTTCCAAAATGAAAATCCAATGACCAAAAGATACACTGACCGAAGTCATGTAGCTGTAGTAGTTGCTTACTGTGGTCCACAGATGTATTGGACCTCAAGATCTGGTCGATTGGCACTGAGTCAAAGTTGACATTCAAGCTGATTTCACAATTGCAAACAAAAGAGGATTCTAGCAAACCACAAAAGCTCTTCAACATGACAGACAGTCTGTAGACATAAATGCCGTGTCTGGAGAAGTGTTTTTTTCAGTGTCAGTACCAAAATTCTGTCTCAGAATGGGTAAGCCATGTGGACAATGGTTGTCACTGTGCCGTCAGAGTCCCTCAAATCCCTGCCAAAAGTGACCTGATTTTATACCATGATGATAGGAGTAATCATAGTGCATCTCTTATTGGAAAGACTAGTCCTTTTCTCTTAGCACAGCCATATGCATACATTATAATTATCCCTCATGTTACACAGTTACTCAGGCCACCTCTGTCCTGGTGATGGCAGCAGATCATGCGATGATGAACGTGTAGTCTCTGACTCTAGTTATTAAGATGTGGTGCAGGATGACTTGGGAGTTGTAAAAAGTCTAATGCCTATGTACTGGTGGCAGGCAGAAATGTCATGTGAATGGTAAATTGACTGTACTTGTATAGCCCTTTTTTCATCCAATCAGGATACTCCAGGCACTTAACACAATCTGTGCCATTATTTGTATGTAATTCACATACATTCAGCACTCTGATTTATCTCTCTACAAAGCTAATCTGGATCAATCACTCTATGGAGACTAATCAGTGCTTGAAATCCCATTTGTACACTGATGGGAAACATATCAGAGGCAATGGAGGGTTCATTGTCTTGCCTAGGGACACTTTCCTATGTGCTAAATAGTGGTGGAATAGGACCCCCAACTAACTCTTTGGAGGACAACTGCTCTAACCTCTCAGCCCTAGTCACAGCAAATGTCATGAGGTTCAACAATTCTTAGAACACAGTATGACAGTTGTCTCAATGTAAATTTTCTTGGATGACTAGAACTTTGACAATATCTGTGGTTGCCCTTGTGTACCCACTGGTTTTCACCATGGTGCAAGACATCAGTATGCCACACAAGCCTATCAAACGTTAAGTGGCCTAATACATCTACAAAGTGTCCTCTGTGTCTGATGTCCTTCACTCACTGCCTGTTAGCACTATCACTCCACTTATTGCCACCACTTTTGCCCTCTGGTGTTTGTTTTAAATGTGCCATCTTGTTACAAGCTGAACCAATTGGACAACAATATCTGGTCTGAATGTGTACCAAAAATGTTCATTTGGGAGATTATAATTTTAAGTCCTTGAGTGTATTTAAGGAGCCGCATTTCTAGCTTGTTTTAACTTCTTGGAAGTCAGTGATGAACCTCAAAAGCTCATCAGTAAAGCTTGTTCCTGTCCTAGTCACACAATTGGAAATCACTGGTGGTCAGTGCTGTTAACACCTACTAATGATGCCAATGAAGCTTAAAACTTCATTCCTCTGCATCATTTTTGCTGCTGCAGAGTCCTCTGCCTGCTCCACCTCCCTCCCTGCTTTAGCTCTTTTCTTGCTGTATCCTATTGTCTTCTTTTACCCCTGTCTCCCACCTTTTACTTTTTTATAACATGTCGACAGCTCTCATTGTGTTTAGCAGTGAACAATTTGACTTAAAGAGTTTACCCTTTCTAAAAGGACATATCACATCTTTCTCCATACCTTTTTGTCCCGTCCCCATAATGACTGTTTTTTTCCAGGCAGGGAGGGGTCTTAAGGGATGTGTGTGCGTATTCTGCAGTTATTCTGCTGACTGCAGGACCTCCACTTGGCAAAAGGGTCCAATGCATCAGCAGTTTGTGTTGAAATGAATGAAGATAAGAAAGGTGGGGTGAGAGTAAGGCATCAATTTGAATGACTACTCACAATTGTGTTTTAACATAAGTTGTAGTTGTAATGAACAAACAGTTTACAAGAGTGACCCAAATTAAAATTAAATGATCTTGTTCAAAATAAATTCAGAGGTTATTCAAGCATTCTTAAGAAATTCTATCAGCTTATCCATAAAAATCTGATAAACTCATGAATTCATGTCATCCCCTCTGACCTTCAATTTGGGCATTTTTACCAAAGACCATCACTAACCACCACTTGAAGGAGCATCAATGTATAAACATAAAACTTTTTATCATTATGTAGCAACATAAAAGCTGTATTTTGAGAAATAAATAAGCAAAAAAAAAAGTCTTTCTGAACAACTTTAAAGCTCTCATGGGCCACAAAAAAAAATGTGATGAGCCACATTTGGCCTGTGGGCCTTGAGTTTGACACGTGTGCTCTAATGCATTATCATTAGCTTGATTCACCATTATCCAGATTAATAACTTATTGACAAGTCTGACCTAAAAGGTTTGAACCCCTGGTGAAGACTAAAATACAGGTGGTCTTCAAATGTTGCAAAAAAGGCTCCTATTAAAAACAATAAAACACTGGCATGGCAGTAAGAAGTACTAACAAAAGAACTGGAACAAGAGCAAAAACCAAAGCAGGATGCAGAGACACAACACACTAACACACTAACTGTGGAGACCATACAAAGCACTGAAACCAGACTGAGGACAGAGAACAGAATATAAAGCGAGACTATTGAGCTTGAACAAAAAACACCTGGGAGAGAAACATGAGGAGCAGGTGAGTGTGGGTGGGGGTGGAGCAGAGACAGGTAGGAGGAGCTGAACAGAAAAACAACAGGGAGAGTAACCAAGAAGAGTAATCCTAAAACATTTGCAGAACAGATACGCATATCCACAGACAATGACATTCATTGCATTGTTATACTGAAATTTGTTATCTTGATTATTGTTACCACAATGTGATGCAATCTCAATTATTATTAATCTGATGCATTGTATTCAGAAGTTTTTTTTTTTATGTCAGTAGCCTCGTTTGCTAATAAAACTAGAACCCCACATTCAAAAAGGAAGCATTAGCACATTTGACTGATGCAAATACAGTATATACAGTATATACAGTACATATATATATATATACAGTATATATACAGTATGTCATATTAAAGTTATTTCTAAATATATTAAAACCATAAATGAAACATTTAAACTTTGATACAAATAACTTAACTTAAAAGGTTTATTATAGGTAGGTACTTATTTTCCCCTGGAGGCCAGTTTCAGTGGATGTGCATTTATCCACTTACAGACCCATTTTAAAGAAATTTTCTTTAAATGGTGGGCATGGCAGAGCAGTGGTCAGTGTTGTTGCTTCACAGCAAGAAAGTTGCAGGTTCAAAACTTGTGATCCATGTGAAGCAGCGCGCATCACATGGATCATCATAAAAATAATGATGGAGCTACTCAACTTGTCTCTAAGGTCAAACCCTGCAAAGAAAGCTCATTTCGGCCACTTCTATCTGGGATCTTGTTCTTTCAGTCTTGATCTAATTTATGACCATGAGCTGGTGCACTAGTTCCCTGTGACCGTAAAATCAGCAAATAAAGAAAATGATTGCATGGACAGCTGAAAATTCTATATTTTAGAGACTATTTATGAGCATTGCTATTAAAAAAACATTTTAAAAATCCTTAAAATGAAAATAAAATGGTAAAATCCTTTGTTTATGGTTATTTGTATGGATGGGCGATGGGTGTGTGTGTTTGTGTGTGTACTGACTGTGCTTATTTTTAATATCAGACTAACTTGTCTGAACCTATAGTTCGAAATTTGACCAAAGTGAAGTCATAAAAAGTCAGATATATCCACAGTCGCCATGAATAGGCATCGCTGAAAAAGCTGGTGTGTTTCTGCATTTGATCTTTCCTTGAAAAGATCACTTTTAAAGTTTTGGAACCTCTTTTAAAGCAAATATTAGCTTGTGCCCTTGCTTCTTTTAGGAATAGACTGTTAATGAGTTGGTAAGTAATTGTTGTAGTAGTAAACAATTACTTACCAACAGTAGTAAAGTAGTTGGTAATGAGTTTTTATTTGTTCAGATTAAAATCAGACTCAGATGAAGAGAAGAAATGGACTGTAGATTATCTCTATGACAATACTCACAAAGACAGAAGTACAAGCATGTGTGAGTGTGAGACAGAGAGAAGCCAGCTGTAAGGGGTCGATGCTGTGCTGTGGCAGTCTGCCTCTGAAGTTGTGGACTGCTGGTGCTGCTTCTTGTCTCTGTTGGATGACAAGGATTTCTCCTGCACAGTACGTACACTGTTTTTTTTTTTTTCAGCCCATGTTTTGTGCTCTTGTCGTAGCACTCTGCAGGCTGAGGCTTCTTGTGGAGTGTCCGGTTTGTGCATTAAGAATGATTTGCAGAGGTGTTTTGAGACTTTGACTTTATGTTTTTGCTGTTACATGTGCAGACAGGGTGTCCTGTCCTCCTGTAAGTGGTTACGGAGCTTACCGGGGGAGAGCCAGCACTGCAGATGGAAACATTCTATCACAGCGCTGCATGCAGATGCTAGTACATGAGCTTTTTGATCATGAACCTATGTGATGTAACTAGAGGGAAACTTTCTTGAGCAACATCATATTGCAGATGACATATGTCATGTATCTGTGTGTCTCTGCAGTGATCAGACCCCCTCCCCAGTGTTTTGAGTGAAGATGATCCCTGTGCTGATCTGTGTTTTGGTCTCCCTGAGCGTTGCACAGTCCACATTCGACGTTCTGCACCCTAACCTGGAGCACTCAAGAACCATCTATGTCATAGGTAAGTTTGTGTCTTACTGTTTCTCTGGATCAGTGAAAACTTCTAAAAGTGTTTTAAGAATTCACAAGATTCCTTACTGTGTTTCGTTCATGACACTCACTCTGCAGCTCCGTTTGTCTCCTTCATTAATCAGCATGTCCTGCCGATGTGGCTTGGAGATAACACTGCTAAATGTGGGGTTGCAAACTCTGTGAGATAAAACTATCTCTGTGGAGATACTGATGAAAAAATGTAAATAACAACAATTCAAATATTGTGGGATGTGTTCTGCTATGTCAGGTAATACACACCATCATTACTTGTTTTGTAATTTTGTTCTTGTAGCCACTGTTAATATTTTATTTAGGGTTGAACCAATACCAGCTTTTCTCAAACTGGGTATGAGTGTAAGTACTTTTGTGGAATTGGTACTCACCGATACCAAGCATCAATACCGAATACAAACTGAGTTAGTAACTAAATATTACACAATGGCTTTAAAAACACATTTCTTTTATTTAGAACAAGGTGGCTCACCTTTATAAGCCTACAGCCCCTCTGACTGGATCAAATCAAATATACAGCATGATATATACTGATGCAACATTTTTAATATAATAAAATTAAATAAAAAATTCTTTCAACTTGTATTACTTTTTTAAACATGAAACTGACAAAAAGTTCACTTGAAATGTAAATTGTAACACATCCAACATAGTATCAATATCGGCAACCTTATATTGATTCTGGTATTGGTATTGCTTCCAGGTATCAGAGCATTTTGTTCAAGTATTTGTAAAAATGCTGGACACCAGTACATCCACTGGGTTCAGAAAGTATTAACCTTTTTACTTATTGCGATTTCATTTAAACTTTTTGTAAGAAATGGGTCTTTGAACCCTGCAAGAAACTTCTTTGACTACATGATTTTTTTGTTTTTGCTTTGTCAGCTAGGAGTCTTCTACAGAGAAGGGTGTAAATTACCAACATATATTCAGTAATTTTTGTTCACCACAGGCTCCAACCAAAGTGTAGAAACCTCTGTGATCAAGAAAAATGGGAAGCATGTGAGCTAAATGTTAAGAATTTTTGCCAAAGATCTGAATAGTTATAGAGATGTAGTATTTTAGTTTTCTTTTCTTTTGAATAAACCAAATTGATATTCTCTAATAAAATAAACCAAATAAAAGAGACTGATAACCTATTGATAACGAATTCCCAGTTAATTAACAAAACAACAAGGTTTACATAATGAATGTTTAACTAACAAATTGAAAATTTAAACGTTAGAATCAGCTCAAAATAAATTATTACATTTGGCAGAAACACCAACTAATAAATGGGTACTATTAAGCTTAAAAAATCTAAATACAAAGCAAATTTAATGAATGTCAATTTAATCTGTCTTCTACCTAATACTATCACATGACTATCATTTCAGTAAATGACTGAGGTTTCTGAATGTTCAGCCTAAGTGAGCAAAACAGTTAGAGTTGAAATGAATGCAGTGTGTTTCCAGCTGAACTATCAGGGATGATGTAGGCTGTCAATGACAGCAGTTTGATGAAGAAGCAGTTTAAAGAAACACACATTCTCCCTTAAATAGCCCTTCAGCTCAGAACATAGGATCAATGCGTCATTATGTGCTTTGCTTATCTCTCACACATACAGTATGCTTATGCAGCAGCCTGAGTGAAACACTCTGTTGGCCACACTGAGGTGGCAGCTACTGCAGGTGCAGCAATGAAGGGAGAGGAAAAGACCAAACAAACCAAAACACAAGGAAGTAAACACCTAAAGACAAGTCTCTTTATTAATCATTTTGCTTTTTATCAATGTCATCCTGAGTCTTTCATTAGGCTGTTGGAAATAAATGGCAGTGAGGGGTTTCAGTGAGCCAGTGTAAGAACTTTAGAACTGAAGTAATGTGCTAGTACTAGTGGTGGTTTATTGCAGTAGTCCTGGGTGGTGCATGAGGGAAGCACTGGTTCCCCACAAGGCTGTGTTTGTCTTGAAGTGCAAAATCCACAGAACTAAAGTACATTTCAATGTATTTCAGTGCCTGTTACACGCCATATTACATACACATGCTGGCTTTAATAAATTCATATTTTTTTTTCTTTTAACCATTTTACTTGTGAGCTATTTGTCTATACCATAATTTCTGACTGTTTTCATATCAAATGTACATTTTTGTCTCTAGTCTTTGCGATCATAAACAGATGGATCCGTATGATTATGAACCTTTGAGTTTATAGCATCCCCAGCTTGATCAAACATCTCAAATTTTGGTTTCTTATCCAACATTGTCTCACCCAGTACTTTGCTTAGTTCTAATTATTAAATGTAGAGCTGCCAACATAAAAAAGTTAATGAAGATATTAAACTAAGAGCATCTTGTAATTAGGAGAAAAGATCTCATAATTATGACATAAGATGTCATAGTTATGAAATAAGATACCATATGCATTTATGAGAAAATATATTATAGTTGCAAGATCCTGATCTCATAATTATAAGAAAAGAAGTGAAGGAGTGGTTTTTGAGGATCTAGGATTCTGAGCAGGTATCAGATGTAAAAATAGGAACTATTGTTTTGAGTTCATGTTCCTCCCGGGCATTTTAGTGTGTGATGCCGAATGCACAAGTGCTCATAATTTACTCACCAAAATTGAATAAAGTCATGACCTGCATGGTTGAAACAGGACCAAGAGTGTGCTCTTTGCATACATACAAGATGTAATATAACACCAGACCGTTCTTTGGGGTACGACCAAGCCAGCCTGGGTCCATTTCCAATGCATTAGCTACTATAGCCATGAAGCATCCCGTACTGGGCTCCTGTAGGAAGAGAGCGACTTCCAGTAGGTCAGTATTTTTTTTCACCTGAACATCCCCAAGGACTTAAGGTCCCCTTCACAGTGTTGACATGCTAATATTAAGGCCATCCACATTAAATAATCTGAATATTTCCCAAACATCTCTGAGGAAAGAAAAGCATATCAAATCCAAGAGCACAGTCATTGTCCACGTTTCATGATCATGAGATCAGGATCTAGTATGACGTCTTTTCTTGTGAATATGAGATTGGGATCTTGTAATTATGACGTTTTATCTCATAATTACGAGATCGGGATGTCGTAATTAACAGATCAGGGGTCTATTTTTTATTTTATTTTTTAAACTTTTGTGAATGCAATGCTCTTCATTAGTAATCAAGATGTTAGACTTGCTAAAACGATAATGTTTGCATTTCAATGCAAGTATTTATGTTCCATGTCTAAGTACAGCTTCTAATGACAACTGGATCGACTTTAGTTCCAGGTCCAGTTCATTTGTTGTGTTTACTGTGTGTTGCTTTTTTTACAGAAAACGGACCCCAACTCTCAGTGGTGGCAGAACAATTGAAGGTGGTGTCAAGGCGAGGAGGAAATGCAACTTTACCATGCAAGATCCACAGAGATCAATCACTGCCCCCCAATCGCAAGATGAGGATCAAATGGACTAAACTCACCTCAGACTACCTTAAAGAGGTATTTATACATCTATCTCTATACTATTTCCCTTTTCCAAGTAAGAGCTGAAAAAAATTAGATTACTGTATACAAATAGAGCACATTATTATCAGAGACAGGGTAAATAAGATAAGATAAGATAAGATAAGATAAGATAAGATAAGATAAGATAAGATAAGATAAGATAAGCCTTTATTGTCATTGTACAGAGCACAATGAAATTACAGTTCAGAACACCCATTCACAAGAAGACAGAACATAAACAACCATAGGAGAACAGGTGCCGTGGGTCATGCAGCCACAGACCCTTGCACAAAGCAAGGATCCATCATTATGAAGATATCATCAGGAGGCACAACCCTTAAAAGAAAAGCTAAATATGACACAAAGATAGATGAGGAAAATAAAATTGCATATGCACTAAATGTGCACTAAAATGTAAGTACTTAATGCTAAAACAAATTGAACTGACTTGTTTTCTGTCCTAAATGAACTTGTACAGTCTTAATACAAGCAGTTAGCTACCACTAGATTTACTTATTTTTTATACAATGTCCTGAATGTTCGCATATTGGTAAAATTGTAAAATTTGCTGTTTGTATTTATCATGCTCTAGGTGAATGTGTTTGTTGCCATGGGCTATCACAAAAAGAGCTACGGGACTTTCCACGGACGTGTCCACCTGCAAGGCTCCTCTCCGATGGATGCTTCTCTGGTCATCACAGAAATCACATTAGAGGATTATGGGAAATATAAATGTGAAGTCATTGATGGACTGGAAGATGAAACTGTGGTTGTTTCCCTCAACCTTGAAGGTATATTCGGGTTTATTTGCTTTTTAAAGTAGGAAAGAATGAGATCGTGGAATAGGTATGCAATGACTGTGAGGTGTTATTGTACCCCAGCCAGCTGCAGTCAGTCTAAATTTAGCTCCAGCAGCAAAGACTGCTTGAGGGAATGTCAACAGAAGTGCGTCCTGTAAGCATAATGTACATTAGTGTCAGAGCTGCTTCGATATGTTTGAGAATAGTCAGAGACACTTATTAGTCCCTGAAGCCAAAAATGCTGGCACCAGGCTGACAGGGAAACAGCTGTGCTTCCTCAGCGAGACAAATCAGTCACCAAGTTCATTAATAAAAGTGACTAAAACATCCCAGAATGAATCCAAATTTAGCTTTAAGCTGTAACTCAATTGACACATGTCAGATTTTCCTGTTTTTGACCTTTCCATGCAGGTGTCGTCTTCCCCTACTTCCCACGTTTGGGCCGCTACAACCTAAATTTTTACGACGCAGCGCGAGCATGTCAAGACCAGGATGCTGTTGTGGCATCCTTTGACCAGCTGTACGATGCGTGGAGAGGAGGAATGGACTGGTGCAATGCCGGCTGGCTTCACGATGGCTCTGTGCAATATCCCATCACAAAACCCAGAGAGCCCTGTGGTGGCAAGAACACAAGGCCAGGCGTTCGTAGCTACGGCCTGAGAGACAAGGACAAGAACCATTATGATGTGTTCTGTTTCACTTCCTACTACAAAGGTGAGGGAAGTTTTTCACCTTCATATATTGTAATAAAATATACGTATGTGTGTTTACTTTTATAATAATAATAATAAAAACTGGTGCAAAAAAGGATAGAATGAGCCATACCGCATTCTCTAAAAGTTGTAAGAAAATGAAAGATAAGTATCTCAATGAGTGCATTACATTTATGAGTCCCCAGTTACATTTTGAATTAGGAGATTTTCTTGTTAACCTTGAGTCGGCCTACCATCCAATCCTGATAAGGATCTATTTAAATAAGATCCAAGGGCAATTTTTGATAGGGGACTGTTTTAACATTAAAATTAAATTAAACATTATTTGCAATTGGCTGTGTACTTCACAGCCTTTACAGAAGTGATGCTGACCTTTTCCAAAACCTTAAAAACTGCTTTTATGTGATCCAGCTATAAAAATCTGACAACTTTGGGCTTTAAGATAGAGTGAAAAACGACAAAAAGGTTACATTTAGAATACTAACTAAGGTAACATAGTGAGGTTTAAGATGGTGATTTTGTGTATTTTGTAATTTTTCTAAATATTTCTTGCCTGGTAAAAAACAGACCCTTGTCCTTCACTTGGCTTCGTACAGAGTGTCTGGACTTTCGGTTATAGAGAAGCGATTCTTGCTGGAGGCGTGGCCTCTGTTGAAGTTTAAAATAATTGGATCGGTTGGCTGCGACATACGTGTGCCAGGTCCACTGTGAAGGAGGCTAAGCTAAGAAGCTAACAGGAAATTGCATGTGCTGTAAACAACCCTACTGAGAGGAGAAAAGTACTGAGCTGAACGAGACGACTGTAAATGAGAGCTGCTGNAAGAAGCTAACAGGAAATTGCATGTGCTGTAAACAACCCTACTGAGAGGAGAAAAGTACTGAGCTGAACGAGACGACTGTAAATGAGAGCTGCTGCTTTGTCARACAAATTTAATTTAATTTGGAAGCCTTATCAACACAGACTGGCTTCATTCACTTCCTCCACAGCCATTGCTAAACTAACTAGCAGACACTGTGCAGAAAATCGACACTGTTCAAAACTCCTTCTTCTCTTCTCTGATTGGCCCAGGTAAAATAAACTACAAGCAGACACTGCGCAGAAAATYGMCRTTCTGTTCTCTGATTGGCCCGGATGAAAATTCTCCTGAAGAAATCCTTGTCTATGGGAGAAATCCCAGACGGAGCAGTGAAGGGAAACTAGAATTGAGCATAACTGTGTAGGAAGTCGAGGGCCAGGCTAAAATATGTCATAATCTGACTTTGAAGGTAACTTGCAAAGATCAAGATCAAAAATGGCCTTGAATGTTTTTCAGTTGTGAAAAATCTGTACTAAATTATCTTACAGTGTTCTGGCTCAATTCATCAATATGTTGCTTCCCTCAGATAACTTACTTTTCAGCCTTGAATTTTGTTAATACATAAATAAATACTGTAAACCATCAAACCACCAGAACTGGAGCTCGCTCAGCACAAGGCTGCCTCTAAAACTACTTCACAATTTGGTTTGGTTTAATAAGCCAATTTTCTGTATTATGTCATGTGAATTGGTTTCAACTTAATGAATTGTCATTAAATTTGGATAAAACTAATTACATGACATTCAGTAATAGAAAGAGAACTGTTTATGTTCCATTTATAGTTGATGGTGTTGAGATTTGTAGTCAGTGAAGTGAAGTTTTTAGGTGTCATCATTGATGACATGGAAACCTCACATAAATTATTTAAGAATAAAAACAGCCAAATCTATTGGAGTATTATTGTATAACGTAAGGGAGTTATTCGATGAGAAATGCTCAGTATACTGTATGTTGTATAACAATATTTTTTCCACACTTAAACTGTTGTATTGAAGTCTAAGGGAAAAGAAAAGAGCTGTAAGGATTTTCACCAGAAAACATTACAGTCACCCATCAAATATTTTATTTTATCAATTGAAGTTATTGAGGTTCTATGATTCATTGATTATACAGTATAATTTTATCAGTTATATGTAGAGAATTGTTACAGTCTTAAAGGGACAGAGATGTTTGTGAAACCTAAATTTCGAACCAGTTTGAAGGAACGGTGTTCTTCAATCCAAGGAATACGATTATGGAATAAACTGGAGAGTAATGTTAAATATGCCAGATCAATGTGCTTGTTTAAGAGAATGATAAAAGTTGGTTTGTTGAAGAAATATTAACTAGGATAATTTGAGTCTATCTGAATTGTTCCTCGAGAAGGAGTTGGTGTTTTTGTTTTGTTTTAGTTATTTATAGATTATTATTG